TTGATCGCTGGACTGAAAAGTCACGTTGTATTTAAACTCGTACAAGTGACGTCTCCTCCCTTAATTACTGACGAACTAACAGACACTGGGAATGAACAGATTATCATAACAAGTGCACGAAGCTCCATTATTTGATCCATTTTGCTTTGTGTTGTCTCGAACAATGGGAACTAATTGAGGTGTTTTTGCATATCTAGTGATGATACACTAGACTTCTATTACTTCCTGTAGCATAAACAGTCTAACTGATTTGGAAATTGAGGTCACTTTTGATTTGTATTCTTCTCTGAATCCACAGCATTAGTGAAATAACTTTTAACTATACTTTAACTTAACCTAAATCATATTTTTCTTCTTTAATGTAAGGTCAGTTCGTTACGATTTTATCCATTTATCTAAAATACTACATGGATGCTTTAAAAATTTATTAACGGGGATAAGCAATTTTTTACATTTAACTATACTATAACTTACTAACATTATAAATGTGAATGTGTAGATGGATAGATGGATATTTGTTAGAATATATCTCCGGAACAGCTGCAAGGATCTCGCTGAACTTTGGCATATATATAGAACATATAGTCTGGAAGAACACAGGCTACTAAAGTTTTTTAACGACCAAGTCTCATCGACTGCTTGTATTATATCTTACCTGCTTTGGTATTATACATTGGTATAGGAACATGGTGCTTAATATTATATACATATAGAGGCTCTATGATATTATAATATGATATTTAATAGTGTTGTAGTGCTCGTTAAAAGCGCCTCTGAGACACCATCCGTTCCTGTAGCTAACAGCATTACCTCAAGTTTATTGCATATCCTGTGTCTAGGAGCGCTAGAAGCTGTCGACAAATTTTCACTATCTGATGCTACATAATTATTAGTAAGAGTTTTATCATATTATATTATATATTCTTATAGTTAAAAATATAACAAAATATTCCTTTACTATTTGTTAAATATATATGTAACTGTATTCATCTTCTACAAAAAAATGTTCCTACTACATTCTCGGCTCAAGTATATGTGGAGGTAAGTTAAATTCAATTAGCTGTCGCTTGCGACTCCGTCCGCGTGGAATGAAAGAACTTAATTGGTTACCGGCAATTATTCGAATTTTTCTCAATTTTTAAACCTTCCCTAGACCTCCACGAACATTTCAAGACCAAGATAACATAAATCTGTTCAGCCATTCTCGAGTTGTAGCGAGACTAACGAACAGCAATTAATTTTTATATATATAAAATTACTACATAGAAATATATTTGTAAAATCAGAAATGTGTAAGACATTTTGAGGAACGCAACTGCGTATAAATTTACATATTTCATTTTCAAATTGTCCAAATACATAAAATCTTATATAATAACAATACCATTTAAGAAAAATTGTCTTGTAAAATAACATATTCCCGCTGAAAAACCAATATCCTTAGCATCGTAACAAAATATTGCAATCTCGGGCAAGTTTTTCTCCCCTACGTTTGCTCAGTTCGTGGTAAGCTAATGGATAAACAAAGGGTCGCGACGTTGCAATGTTGATTTTCAGTTACCTCGGCTGGCGTTCTCGTATCTTTCGTGATTTGCTTTCACCCGAGGCTATCATAAAATAAAACTGTTATTCTTTCTTAGATTACTTAATTGCTGAATACAATGAAAGAAGAGCCACGCTTTGTGTTGTAAAAATAACTTGATGGAAGTATCCCTAAGGATACCTCTCATCTGCAAAGCAGACAAAGATAAACTTATACCAACTCGTACTCTGTTGTTAAAAGGTACAAATACCAATGTGAGATTATAACATACTAGATGTCGCCCGCGACTACGTCCGCGTGGACATTTAAAAAAATTTAAAAAATGAATTAATAGTTTCCTATGTCCGTCTCCTGTCTCAAAGCTACCTCCTCACCAATTTTTAGCGATATCGGTAAAGCCGTTCTTGAGTTATAAATAGTGTAACTAACACGACTTTCTTTCATATATATGTATATATAAGATTAGAGTAAACTTTCTAAAATTACAAATCTTAGCTTTCATGTTTGTACTTAGTCTTTTTATTCAAACAAATGTAGCTGGCAATTAGTGTATTGCTTAAGAATACGGATACTATGTTTGTTTTTTTTTCATTTTTGTGTATAATTTAAACGTATTTTAATTCCAAAAGTGTCTAAGATAGAGAATCTATAGCCTTTTGGTGTATTTTTCATTTGGCAAGCGGTTGTTTTTGGATGCATAACTTCACGGTCGGCTTGCTCACCTTACATTTCGGACTAAAGTTGGCGGAGCGTGCTTAACTAGTTAGAAATTTAATTATTTTCGGCGCGGACGGTTAAGCTTTCGCACAAAACCTTTTCTAAACTAACAAGCCTTTAGAAGATAGGATGAGAAAAACTTTGAAATACATTCTACTATAATGTACGTGGTAAAACTTTCGTTAAAAGTCTATATTAGAAGATTATTTAAAAAAAAATTAAAAAGATACAAAAGCTATTTAGTATTTTTGATATCAATTTGTAAAGAAGTTTGTTCGGTTTCTCATTCTGTCGATATTTGATTGTGTTTGTGTTATTGTTGTTGAGAAAATTGAATTCGTCCACAATCCGTAGTATTGCAGTGTTGTTCTCGATTCGCTTTTAAAATAAAATTTTAGTATTGTTTCCGTTCGTAGTCGAAAATTAGAAAAGTGCACTTATCGCTTTTTTATCAACAGAGATACAATTCTTTGTTTATCTTATTTGAGTATTAACTTTGTTATTTCATGATTTTCACTCACAGTTCTATAATACGCATTACATCAATGAAATACAATTTTTTTGGATAAATATTTTTGCAGTTTAAACTAATTTTTAAGCAAGTTTCTTTATATTTTAAATTTAAAAGTATAGGTAACAAACCTGAACGACAAAACCTCGGAATCAAGGAATAGTAATGAAGAACATACTCAAACTTATATAAAAACGGCTAAACACTCACATATATTCGTCCGGTGGCGGCACCGACTAGTTTCGAGCCCATCGGGGGCCCTTCATCGGGGTGAGTGGGATTGGTATTATTTCGCGGACGCGAGTGAGCGACGGGCTGCGTAATTATAATGTCTCACGAAAGTTTGAATAATTTAAGAACATACTCATATCAAAATGTAAATATACGACACAGTCAAAAAAAGTAAAATTAATTATAACCTAAATTAGAGTGCCTAGATTGTTCCGCCAGTAAACCACTTGAGACAGGGTTTTGGTAAATTAATGAAAAACGCATTGGAAACGAGTTTTATTTAACCAACGTTTTTAATTTCGGCAACTTGTAAAATTATAAATGATAAGATATAACTTAATACGTTTCACTTATTAGTATTCAACTTATTCAAATAGATCGAAGACGAAAATAAAAAAAAGTTTTCTCTAGATATTTACTTCGATATAAAATCACTATTTCCGACACAAGTTATTTGAATTATATTTTTACTTTCTTTTTATAAATAAGCGAGATTCGAAAAGAAACTAATAGAACATCTTAAAATAGATTTTTCCCTCTTATTTTTAGAATATTTTATCTACAGTCAAGATCAATTATTTGGCTTACTAAAGCTTTTTGTAAAAGTTTTGAATAAGATAAAAAAGGGAAGTGCGCCGAACCTGTGCAGTTTTTACAAGAGGACTTGTGATTTGTTAGAAAACTTTTACGAGGCTTTGAGATTTACCCTGCACTTGGAGCCCCCTGTAGAAATAAATTTATTAGTACATTATTTGCCGTACGAAATAGTTCGCGAATGTTTAATATTGATTTTGTAAATCATGTACTTCTTATTTCATTAAAAAACTGTGCATTAGACCATATGTTATTCTGGCGAAAAATACGATTAGAGTGACAATAATTTACCTTTCAAATTATCCAAGCCATTCAGGCTACAGTCTATCAAAATAAAACGGATTAAATATTATTTTCATTCAAACATAATACTCCACTTCTCTCATTTAAGCAAAAAGGACATACTGTGTCATCATCATTAGCTCACCATATGACCCCACCAAGAAGCCTACCCTAAATCAAGGGTAGGGCATAGTCAACCACGCTGGCCAAGTGCGGGTTGGTTGACTTTACACATATCTTTGAATTTCTCCTCAGATAAATGTAGGTTGCATCACGATTTTGTCCTTCACCGTAAGAACGTCGGATAAATGTACATATGGAAATCGGAAATCGAAAAACACATTGTAACATGGCGCGATTCGAATCCAGGTCCTGCAGATTGCAAGTCAAGTGCTTGACTCTTGAGCCACCGTCGCTCTTGTGTAATAACTATGTATTAATGGTTTTATATTTCTCCCGATATCTTTACAGTTATAGTTCCCAAGAGCAATGGATTTATTTTTATTTTGTAGACGAAACGATCAAGTATACGCGCGTCTTGCGAGCTGTTGTTACTTCTGTAATTTATTTACTCTTATCTGTAGTAAATTATCAAAGCATGATAACTTTATACCAAAGCTTCGGATCTTACTTTATATATTATTATATTACTTAGTATTTTTAGTACTACTGTTAAAGTTTTAAAGATATACGAGTACTTTTTAATAATAGAAGTTCTTTGTAAATTTACTAATATTTTTGTACCATTCCAATTAAAGTCTATGCTTGTGCTAGGACATGATTTGCGACAATAGTCGAATGGCGGGATCCGAGCTCCAGACCACATTGATTGGAAATCCAAACCCTTAACCATTAGGCTATTGACGCTTCGAATTTAAAAGAACAATATTGTTATTTTTAATTATTATTTTACTATATTATTTCTTAGAATTGCGCTGGAGTGATACTTGTATTAACACATATCTCTGTCTTTGTTTTGTCATAGAAACTGAAAGAGATAACAATACGTAGCATTGCATGTGTCACGGCAATGGAATTCTGCGGAATTATATACTTTTTTTTAACTTCTTATTACTCTTTTTTACAAATATAATCTTGACATTTTATGACATGTCATTATTGTATTGTGTTTGATAGTAAAGTTTATTTGCTATATTAATTTGATTTTTTAAATAGATTTATTTTATAGTTGTTTTGGTATTTATCGAATTAATTGGAAACAATTAGTAAGTGTATAAAATTATTTATAAAAATTAAATTATACTCTTGTAATAAAACGCAGAAGTACCTCCACTCTTTAAAATGATCTATATATATATCCATATGTTTCATTTCCCCGTTTAAATTTCAGATAATGTCGCAGCACTTTAGAAGTTTACCAAGCCATTCTTTGTTTCGTGATGAAGTGAAGAAAACATACAGACTAACTCCATTTATTGTTACACTTTGTATGTTAACCTGATTACAGATTCGATAACTAATAACTGTGGTAAAATACATATCAAACAAGTCACAGTTGACCCATTTAAACTGTGGCCATCTTTAAGTTTAAGTAGACCATGATTAAACAAGATTTTAACAGTGGTAGAGCCCGCTTTAACATCTTCGCACGTATTGGCCCGGCTCGCCCGGTGAAATACCACGACCACAGGCGTGAAGTGGGAGCAATTCCGCGTTTTGTCTGATGAGTGTGCGTCCCGGAAGCCTAATTTAGTCCTCTTTCCCTTCCCACCCTTTTTCTTATAAGGAAACGATGGGAAGTGGAAGTGGACTTTCCGGATGAGAGATGCATGGAAAGGGAAGATATTTTCTTTCTGTGCATCATCTCCTTCGTCGATTAAAGGTAGACAACGCATATGCAATTGCGTATGTCTATGGGCAACGGTCACTTCGCTTTTTCAGCGATTTCAGGTGGCAGCTCGCTCGTTTGCCACCTTTTATAAAAAAAATATATTATGTCCCTAACATCTCTAAATCCAGGCTTAAGCTTAGGAAAAAAATAATTATACAACAAAATTTACGATCAGTCCTGTCTTTACTTTCTTTTAATCGCTTTTATAATACTTAAAACCAGTATGTGAAAAAAAATATTATTAAAACTATCTTCTAGCTGGCACGAGTTTAACATCAATTGATATAGAAAATTTCATAGAAATGGGACTACGTATAATTCGCTTCAATGTTACAAACTTAACTCGAAACGATAAAATAATATTATTGGCCAAATTCAAGCAAGCTATGAAATCGTTTTGCGAAAAGTATAATATCCCCAGTTGGCCGATTGCAATTTCTATTGATTTACCAAACGCGTGTATCAAAACTGGATGTTTTGTTGATGTAAGTAATACGAAATATGATTCTTAAAATATGTATGACAAAAAGTAACAGACTATTACTATTTGTCAAACTATGAGTTTCTGTTTTTATTATTTATGTAACTAAAACAAGATCTATAAACAACTTTATACAAAAATACCTATACCAGAGCGCTATTAGCTTAACACGTTGAGTGCCACATCAGCCATCGGTGGCTGACACTAGACTTACCGTTTAGGCCGCTTCAGCCATCGATGGCTGACACTAGATTTTCGGTTTATGTCGCGTCAACCATCGGTGGCTGACAGCGTGTAACATGAGAACTATAAAATTTTACACTATTTTGCGTTAAACATGTAAACTATTTTGTACTGCGATCGGAAACACCGGCCCTTTAATACCAGTGCGTATAAACGACGTTCGTGACCTGAACGGGATTGTCTTAGAAATACGCGTGGCGCTCAACGTGTTAATGATTAAGAGTCCGAATCCCACCATTCGAGTATTGTCCTAAAACCATATCCTATCACAAACACTAGACTAGCCGTCGCACGCGACTCCATCCGCGCTGAATTTAAAAAAAAAAAACTTAAGTAGCCAAGGTGTTCTTTCAGGTTTTACATCTATGCCAAATTTTAGCCAGAACCATGAAGCCGTCCTGCAGATACCTTTAAAGAAACATCGATTTATAAATTCGCATTTATAATATTAGTAACAAGAAAGATAAATAAAAAAAAAACTATTATCAAATTTCATGTATCAAATATTTAAACACTTTATTGTTGTAGGATATAACCGAAGTATTTTTAGAAGAAAATGATACGATAGAAATAACTTGCAATACAAAGTTGTGGAACATGTGCAGCAAAGATAGGATATTCATGGACGATCCTTATACTTTTAAATTGATACAAGTTGGTGCAGAAATAACATTGGGTTCGGGAAAAGTTATATTGATATGTACCGAAGTAATTAACGAACAAAGGATAATGTGTAAAGTTCACCAAAAAGGTTCGATAGGGAATTTGGAATTTTTCTGCGTCCGCGGAATCAAACATATTAAACCTCCTTTATCGAAATACGATTTGAATATGATCGAATTCGCTAAAGAGTTTTCAGTAAGTATCCAATTTGATTTAGGGAAAAGTAAACTATGTTTTTTTTAATTTAATGAGACTGTTACAATGAGAATTAAGTGTTTAAAATGTTAGTTGATTACTTATAAGAATACTAGCTGACGCCCGCGACTCTGTCCGTGCGGAATTAAAAAAATACTTAATTAAGGGCCTATGTGTTTTTCCAGACTATGTTTTACTCATATGCCAAATTTCAGTATGATCTATGCAGCCGTTAAGGAGATACCTTCAAACATCCATCCATCCATCCAAACACTCTCAAAAATATTAAAATTGTAAGATTATGAAGGAGATTTATTATTATATTTTACTGAATCTCGAATCGTAAAATAAACTTTAAAACTCTTAATTTTGTTAACTTTTGTTCCATTTTCAGCTAGACATAATAATAATGAATTCAGTTCGGCGCACATCGGTACTAGATAAAGTGAAAGCTCTTTTTAAAAATTGTCCAACGCCGCACATCATTAGCACGATTTGTGAACAAGAGGGATTGGATAATATAGATGACATTATTGAGGTAAAAAGTATTCAAACATTTATATCCTTACTTTATTCTTTTTTTTAATACATTAAAGGTCATCGCTTATTATATCCATCCAGTGGTAACTTGCTCAGATCTTAACGTGTTAATGTAATTCGCGTTCGAATTCGTTACAGATTTAATTAAATAATTTTGAATCTAAAATACAATTTCTAAATTTATTTCTTGTATAAAACGTTCACATACATAAGTAACATGGAACGTATATTATTATTTCAGGCGTCTGATGGTATTATATTAGCCAGAGAATTTCTAGCTTACGAAATTCTCAATAAATATCAAATGAGTGCAATACAGATGCAAATAAGTGCTAAATGTAGACAGGTACCATAAGAAATTTATTTTCTTCACAATCTTAGAAGTAATTTAATTAGCTCAATATTTAATCCATTTACTCTTACTAACATTATAAATTCGAATGTTTGGATGGATGTCTGGATGAATGTTTGAAGGTATCTCCGGAACAGCTCAATGGATCTTAATGAAATTTGGCACAGATGTAGAACACAGACTGGTACCTAGGGTACTTATTTTTTTTTAATTCCGCGAGGACGGAGTCGCGAGCAACAGCTAATGCTTTGTACATTTTAACGCATATTAATTACTTTACAGAAAGGAAAACCATTCTTCATCTCTGGAAATATTTTAGACGAAAGTTTAAAAAAAGGCATGTTGGTTGATCGTGATGTTTTTGACATCACAAATGCGGCAATCGACGGCACCGGCTTTCTTCTACGACATTTAGACAATCCATCACATATATTGGTTGCGATGAAAATTTTAGATTCTATTTGTAAATCAGTAGAATCTGTAGCAATGGAAAAAGATTTCTGGAGAGTTCTTGATGAGGTATTGTTAATCATATATATATATATATATATATATATATATATATTACTACTTTATTACACTACATAGACGCCACTAGAAATACGACACGATTTTACACCAATCCGGTTTTTATTCTTCTTAGCATAATTTAACATGTGCATGTTTATCCTGCGTAGGCAATATATCCATTCGATTAGAAGTAACTTGACTGATTTTGAAGATTTAACAGAGCTTTGATTTATAGGTTTATAGCCAATTAACCCTTGTTAATTGTAGATTAAAATGCCTGCTAATGCTGCGGAAGCGTGTTGCCTAGCGTGTGCTCTCGCAGCGAAGCAGACGAAATCAAAGGTTATCGTAGCGCCAACGGTGACAGGGAGCACTGCGCGACATCTCGCACGCGTCGCTCCCGAAGTTCTTATACTGACGATAAGCTCAAATCCATTCACGGCAAGGAAACTGCAGTTGTATAGAGGAGTAATACCTTTAATTTATGCTGGTAAGATACTTATTAAAAATATAATTTGTTTTTTGACTTGACTTAAAGTCCTATGTCCCCGTAGTGGGGCAGAGGGCGTCCGCAGTTCGCTCGATCTTGGGCTCTGCGTTTGGTCTCTGGCCATGTCAGCCCGATTACCTTCATATCGGCAGTCAATGCCAACACTCCTGAAGAGTTCATTTTGACACTTTAACTTGGAACTTAACACGAAGTTCATAATAAAAAAAAATGAATATATTGATTTGAATCTTAATAAATAAAAAAAATATTTCTTTTCGTATTAAATTGCGAAATAACAGTGTTCTTTTTTTTACAGAAAAAGCAAGATCAAAGTTTGAAGACGAAGTGAACTCGCGAGTCTCGTTCGCTGTGTCATATTGCGTTAAGCATAATATATTAAAATATAAGCAAACTTACGTTCTGTTGAGACGAAGTACTATCTACAGTGGTTTCCCTGACCAGCTCAGTGTGCGCACGGTCTCCTCGAAATTTCATATAGGTGATCACACCGATACTAAATAAGACCTATAAATAAAATAAAAACATTTCAAATTAATCTTTATTTTTTATTTATCTCGCAAACATAAGTAATTTTCATGGTTTTTAGCTAAATCTAGTAAAATCTTTTTAAATTGCAACAAATGCATACAAAAAATAGCCCACCCTTCCCGCTGTTAACTCGAGATAACTAGGAACAGTCAGACCAATAAAATATTTGTTTGTATCTAGATATTTCATCAGTTCGTGTTTATTATCTGTTTTGGAGATATAAAAAAAATACTTTTCTGCACTACTCGTATTGTTTATGCCTAAAAGAAATATATTATATTCTTTTTAATATGTAACAGCTATTTTCGATTGTAGAAGACGATTTCAATCTCTGGAAAATTGTCAAACACTTCTCATGTCAACGCTAAGTCACTTACAATTTTCATAAAATTTAAAAATTCACAGAATTTTAATTACATATTCATTACAACTAAAAGATTGTTTTCTACATTCATACTAAAGGTAAATTTCGAATTAATATTACTTATGTTTGATTTCAATAAAATTAAATGTATTTTTAAAACTTTCAGATGTTACCTCATCAGGGTTCGGTATACTGTAGGAGTATACGTAAAAATTTAATGTTGGAAGAAGATGCCAAGTCTTATAGACTTACGCCGTTCATTATCACATTTTGTAAGTAAACATATGACGCATAGGTAATTAGATTACTCTTGTTCCTGATATACTAAATCATATTTATCATCATTATTCCGGATACCATACCTTTTCGAATTACCAATAGGCAACAGGAGCATCGGTGGCTCAGGGGTCAAGCACATAACTTACAATCTACAGGTCCTGGGTTCGAATCCCACCATGTACTAATGTGTTTTTTTATTTCCGATTTACTTATGTACATTTATCCGATATTCTTACGGTGAAGGCAAACATCGTGATGCAACCTGCACATATCTGAGAAGAAATTCAATGATATGTGAGAAGTCAACCAACCTGCACTGGGTCAGCGTGGTTGAGAGTCTAGTGGGTGACTTTGGGTAGGCTCCGAGCCCCTCCGTGGCGACATATAGTGAGCTGATGATTAGATTTATGCATTACCGACCTATCGTCCATGTCGTTGTTTCGAATTTAGCCATTCGACTATTGTCATGAACCACATAAAATATACTAGTACTTGCATGGAAAGGGAAAATATTTTCTTTCTGTGCATCCTCTCCTCCGTCGGTTAAAGGTAGGCAACGCATATGCAATTGCGTATGTCTATGGGCAACGGTCACTTCGCTATTTCAACGATTTCAGGTGGCCGCTCGCTCGTTTGCCACCTTATGATAAAAAAAAAAAACTTACGGATAATGTTATAGTATATATTTATGAATATAGAAAAATCTTCCTATATTTTATTTCGAGTAATGTAAGTGATATTTTATATTCTAAGATTCATTTGATTTTAGCCGATGCCGGCTTGACATCAATCGACATGGAAAACTTTATTGAAATGGGATTGCGCATCATTAGATTTAGAATGACAAAGTTAACTCACAATGATAAAATAATGTTATTAGCAAAGTTTAGAGAAGCTTCAAAAGTATACTGTTCCAAATACGGTGTTGAAAATTGGCCGATTGCAATTTCTATTGATGTTCCTAACGCATGCATTAAAACTGGCAGCTTAAATGAGGTGACTGTATACAATTATTATTTTATAATGTATATTGTAACTAGCTGTCGACTCACAATTAACCTATGTTTTCTTTCACACTATCATCTATATGTATGCCAAATTTCATCGAGATCTATTCAGCCGTTCTGGAGATGCCTTCAAACAAACATCCATCCATCTAAACATTCCCATTTATAATATTAGTATGAAGTATGATTAAATGTGTGGAATAAGTTAAGCACAGACAATAAAATGGGATCAAATAAATAAAAACAAAAGCGAGAATTCATTGAGCTATTTTAGGTATTTTTTGTTCAATCTCATCCAAATATATTATACAATTCACAAAAAATACTGAATTCAATATTTTCATATATATATATATATTCATATATTTGCTTCCATTGTTATGAATGTTAGGAGTTAAACATTAAAATGAATAGTATTAACGATTTAATTAACTGTAATTGGGATCTCGGAATCGGCTCCAACGATTTTCATAAAATTTATTATATAGGGGGTTTCAGAGCGATAAATCGATCTAGCTAGGAATCATTTTTTGAAAATGTAATTTTATTCGTGTTTTATCGATAATCAACTTAACTTAAACTTAACTTTTTCTATCGGTAAGATCGAAAAATATTATTCATATTTCATCATTTTATTAGTAATTCGTACTTAAATATAATTTCCAAAAAACACAATTTAAAAAAAATATCCAGATTTTGGTACACTAAATCAATTACTTTATTATTATCACATTTAATTTCAATTTCACAAACGAAAGTGGTGACTTGTGGAGACGACGGCCCAGTTCGGGTCGCTGAATCACCCTAGTTAGTTAATTAAATGAAATTGTTGAATCACTATTCCAGGAATTAGGAGTTGAAGAAATAACATTAGAAGAAAATAGCAAGATAAATGTAACATGCAATAAGAAATATTGGAACAAATGCAGTAAAGATTTAATATTCATGGATGACCCATTTACATTTCCATCAATTATACCCGGTACTGAAATAACAATAGGCAGTGGCAAAGTTATTATGTTTTGTGTTCAAATTATTAATACGGAAATGATCAAATGTAAAATAGCTCAAGGTGGCCTGATAGGAGAACTGGAAGCTTTCTGTGTACGCGGCATCAGGCATATAAAACCAGCTTTATCCAATTATGATCTGAAGATGATTGACTTTGCCAAAGATTATAAAGTTGAGTCTACATTTGTTTTTAAATTTTTCATAAAGGCACTCTCTGTCGGAATTAAAAACAAAATGTAATTAGTAGCCTATGTATTTTTCCAGACTATGGTCTGGTCTACATTTATGTCAAATTTCAGCGAGATCCATGCAACATCTTTACACTTTTTAACAAACTTCCATCTAACTATCCATCTAAACATTCGCATTTATAATGTTAAGTAAAAAATAAGATTATGGTACTAACATTTTTTTAGCTTGACGTAATCATATTGAATTCAGTTCGTTATCCAATAACTATAACTAGAGTGAGAAATTTATTTAAGAACCATCGATTGCCGCACATTATTAGCACTATATGCGAACAGGAAGGTTTGGACAATATTGACGAGATTATAGAGGTATAAATATCTATATATTTTAAATTTAGTTTTGTTCGTATAAAACAAAAGAAGCGCCTGTCAAAATTTATGCTTTTTATGTTGACAATGACAAGATTGATAATATAATATACTAGCGGAGTCGACAGACGTTGTCCTGTCTACACGTCTTTAATTTGAAAATTCAAATATTATTTGAAATTTGACACTGTGATGGTAGCGCCATCTGTCGGATCCAATGTAAAAGATTCCAAAATCAACAACTACTAATAAATTAAAAATTAATTAAAAAAACATTATCCAGCGGACAAAATTGTGAATCTAAACCATTCCCAGATCCCCTTGAACACACACAAAAAATTTCATCAAAATCGGTCCAGTCGTTTGAGAGAAGTTCAGTGACATACACACTCACAGAACAATTATATATATAAAGATTTAAGAGTTCATTGAGCTTTGAAAATGTAATAACTAACCGTTTCTTAATAACTCGTGACTATTACCGTGGGTTTCTGAGACCAAAATCCCTGTTTAAAACATATTATTATCACTGTTTTGTCTCAGATTGGTCTCAGAAACCAACCGTAAGAATATAAATTCAAAATCTTTTTTAGATTGTCAAATATAAGATTACGTTACACATAAATATATGGGCGTTTAATTTTTATTTTTTACTTACATATAATAAGGAACCTATTTCCTTTTATTGTTATAGATATCTGATGGAATAATATTAGCAAGGGAATTTTTAGCATATGAAATTGTCAACCAGTATCGTATGGCTGGTATACAAATGCAAATTAGCGGAAAATGTAAGCAGGTAACTGAATTGATTGATATCGAATTAATGAATAAAATCTTTAAACATATACATATTTATGACAAATATGTAATTTTGTTTAGCGAGGGAAACCGTTCTTTGTTTCGGGTAATATTTTAGAAGAGAGTCTTAAGAAAGGCATTATTACGGATCGCGATCTTTACGATATCACAAACACAGCAATGGATAACACTGGATTTATATTAAAAGAGCTACGTGATCCATCACATTTATTAATTGCTATGGATATTTTGGATTCAGTTTGTAGATCGGTGGAATCTACTAAAAGAGATGAGGATTTTTGGAGGATTTTAGACGAGGTTTGTTTCAATTTATTACACATGCACACACAAGCACAATCATATAAGTTGTCTTTTTTATATCATAAGGTGGCAAACGAGCGAGCGGCCACCTGAAATCGCTGAAATAGCGAAGTGACCGTTGACCATAGACATACGCAATTGCATATGCGTTGTCTACCTTTAATCGACGGAGGAGAGGATGCCCAGAAAGAAAACATTTTCCCTTTCCATGCATCCTTCCATCCGGAAAGTCCACTTCCACTTCCCATCCTATTCTTATAAGAAAAAGGGTGGGAAGGGAAAGAGGACTAAATTAGGCCTCCGGGACGCACACTCATCAGACGAAACGCGGAATTGCTTTCACTTTACGCCAGTCTTCTGTGTGGTCGTGGTATTTCACCGGGCGAGCCGGGCCAATTCGTGCGAAGATGTTAAAGCGGGCTCTACCAATGTTAAAAATATGTCTACGCAATTTTTGTAAAAAGTTATCAAGATAAAAAGGTTTGTTCATTATATTTTTAATATGTATATTAAAATGGTGTTCCAAAAAATGTTAATAATGTGTTGCACAAAAATTATTATAAAACATTTGTTATTTAGCTGAAGATGCCAGTAAATGCGGCAGAAGCATGTTGTCAAGCTTGTGCACTTGTGGCGAGACAGACGCAATCCAAAGTGGTCATTGTGCCGACGGTGAGCGGCAAAACAGCTCGATGTTTGTCACACATTGCACCAGATGTCACCATATTCACGATCACATCGAATCCTGTCACTGCCAGAAAGTTACAACTTTATAGAGGAATATTATCTATTATTTATAACGGTAATTTTGTCTTTTTTTTTGTTTTACCTTACCAAATTACACCTCATTGTGCTAACCATAAACACACAGTATTACGATTGAAAACCTTTTCGGGTATTAATAAGAGAATTATTTCAGTATTTTTTTAAAGAGACTGGCAGCTTGTAGCTTATACTCAATTTTAACCTATATAGGGATGGTAACATCTGCATATTTTGGTTAGACTTTACATTGGGCTATAGGTGTTTGAATGGAGTAAAATTTAAATCATATTGTTTTTTTTAGTGAATAAAGACCAAAGTTTTGATGAGGCAATGGGCGATCGTGTTAACTTCGCTGTGTGTTACTGCATTACTCGTAACATATTGAATTACAAGGATACTTATGTTGTATTAAGAAGGTCTACTATGTATAGCGCCTTCGCTGACAATCTAAGTGTAGGTACAGTCAATACAAAATCACATACAGTTTTACAATGTTCTTCTACCAAACTTCTGGCTACGTTACCCTAATATGTTGGTTTTCATTCAATGTATTAATTACATAAGACCAATGGAGGCAAAAACTATATTATAATTTCTAAACCAATTTAAGCGTGGTACAAACGTATAAGATTTTTGTATCTTAACAGTTAAGAAGTACCAATAAAATATATTTTGATACAAAAACTGTTTTCCTTATCATATCCCACAGAAACCGTACATAATTCTGCGATCCTTTTTTTTATAAGATAAGGGGGCAAACGAGCGGCGGGAACACCGAGGTGATCAACGACACCCATGGATATCTGCAACACCAGAGTAACCGCAGATGCGTTGCCAGCATTTAAGGAAATGGTATGCTCGCTTCTTGAAGGTCCCTAAGTTGTATTCCTAGCTAGCCTATGGATTCTTCCAGACAATGCTCTACTTTTATACAAAACTTCATCCAGATCCATGAAGCCGTTTCAAGATACCTTCTAACAAACATGTATTCAACAATTTAAACTTACGCATTTATAATATTAGTAAGATGAATAATTAGTTCAGACTTATGATGCAACTAATCCTAACTATATAAAAGTTACAGCACAACTTTATAGTTGAAGGTATTGTTTTGCTATTGGCGTTGGGAAAATTGAATTCGCCGCGGGATTACAATGCGGCGGGGGATTTGATCAAAAACAAACAATTCATTTTTCCATATAGCTTTTTTATTTGTACGATCTAATCGTAGCGATTGCACCAAATTTTGAAACAATTTCGTAATAAACTATCTATTTATTGATACGTTATTATTAACAAATATTTTACTGGTAGTATATTTGGATACTTACCTGATTATATGTAAAACAAGAAGCGAATGAGACAGTTTCTTCATAAAGAATCAACGGTATCCGGTTTTTAGATGACAAAAGCAGGAACATATAAACTATTGAACAATCTCTCTAACCGTGGGTTTCCGATATCAAAACCTATGTATAAAACATTTAAGAGTAGAGAGAATAGGTATTTACTAAGCTAGTGCGTACCATCCTTTAATCACATAGTCATTTACTATCAAGTGAGTTTGTGGTCAAGCACCTATTTATCCAATAAAAAAATAAAAAAACATAGTATCATCCTTCTCTTAACCTTTGTAAAACGATAACAGCTTGTTTTTAAAGGAGATTTTGGTCTCAGAAACCCATGCTAATTAGCATACACTTATGCCCAGATCCTGAGGAATACCTTTATATATGTTATTATATTATATTAAAATAGAATGCATAAAGTTATTTATTGCCACTGTTACATTAGTACTGTGTTAATCTAGTTGGTAATGGTAACAAACTATTGAAAGGCTGGCAATACGCCAACTGAATATGTTCCTATTAAACGTAATGCTGTTATGCTATTAAATTGAAATATTAACAAAGAAATTGTAACACTGAAATGTAGACACTTTGATCTACGGTTAAAGAGGCGATTTGTGCTTCCTGTGAGACTCTCAAATTGAATTTATATAACCACACTTTTATGTGCGATACACATTGATAAATCGGTTGCCTAATGAACAAATAGCAGTGTAGAATAAGAAAAAAATAATCTAGATGTTTCAAAGTTATACAAGCGTAAAAACAGATTTCTTTCAAATAATGTTATAGTTCACAAATACATACTCCGCTGGTGCGGGGAACCAAAGTGGGTCTTGGATATCGGCAAAGACACCTGTCCTGCGCTGTCTCCTGCCAGTCCATCGCTTGTAGCTTAATTATTTAATTAATGATGGTTTAGCAAAGCAAATATTTTGATCAAGGCATAAAACGTTCGCAAAAAAAATTAAAAACAATAATTTCGAAGACACCTCTGTGAATATGTTTGTGAAACTTCTTGACCGTATGTAGGTCAATAGTTGATGCCAAAAGCTATAGCCGCTGCAACTCCAAACGATGGATGAGTTGCAAATTTACTTGGATATTCCCTTTGATGGTATATTTTATACACGTTTCGATTTACTCAGAGTTTGAGCAAGTTATACATAGGATTTAACTTTGATTTTTTTTGACTAGTCAAACTAAGTTTGATAGTTTTGCATAAGAATCTAGTTTTATCCAATAACAAGAGGTTGATTTTTCACTAGTATTTAATATAACCATTCCAAAACGTGTTACTTCTCCGCCAGTCAAATCTAAGTGATACTGAGTTTATAAGGACTTTAGTACAGTTGCGAAAAACATCAAACCCGGAATCAAATATCGAAGCACGTTGAAATTTATCAAACGTTGTAACTTTTTGCAGGCACGTTTCGAATGTAAAGTCGGAGGTTTATAAATTCAATTTGAACTTCGGAGTGCCGCGTAAATTGCCCTGTCTACCATCAAACGACCGAACCCCTTTGACGTCCGGCGATGCTCGTTCGTCACTTGCATGTCCGAGAAGCCATTAAAAATCTAGACTTTTAGATACTCCGACCACGTGATCAAAATTTCATTCAAAACTGTACAAAAACTATAGTTTCGCTATAAGTTTTGACTGCAGTCACACTTGTAGTTAAACATATCGTTATCCTTTACATTTTCTTTAAGAAAAAAAGAAACAACATTATGTATCCCCGCAATTGAAACCCACAGTAATGAAATTATTATTGCATTGTATTAAAATTACTTTAAAATCATAGTGGGATTGCAACTTTCTCCTTAAATTGTTTAAGGTGTGTAAGCAATTTAAATTGAAAACACATTGTTTTCCTTTAAACGGGAAAGTAATTAAACTACGTAGTTTTAACTACACAAGCAGCCAAGTTACGAACAATACAAAGTTGGAGACAACATGTGTCTACATGTTAACTTCAAATAATAACTTTAATAACGATTTCCTTTATTATAATGTTGACAATTTGTAGTCAAAGGTTGACAATATAATTACTAAGCAATCTAAATGTTTATTAATAAAATAAATCTCGAGGTTTGCGTGGTTGTTTGTTACTTCAGATCGGGTGAATGAGTCTGGATGAAATTTGACACAGAATTAGAACATTTTTTTAACCCACCTGATGTTAAGAGATGATGTGGTCCAAAGGTAGTACTTGCTAGCTTAGTACTCTTGAAGGCCCACGTCATACTTGGACGGAAAAACTAACGCCGGCAACTTATTCTAATCTTTTACAGTACGCACATGAAACGACGATTCAAAATTCTTCGTTCGAGTATAGTTTGAGCATAGTCTGGTACAGCGCGTAGGTCCTTAATGAAAAATGCCTGTTTCCCGTTTCCGCTTCCGTTTTGAAAATTAACAGACATCTAGGCTACGAAACATATACTTTGGGTTTCATATAGTGAAAGTTGCGGGCAACAGCTAGGCTTGTATTTCCTCTACGCGTATTCCTTTCTTATTTTTAAAAGTGCTTTAAAAAGGTTGTCAATGTCATTATATATATGAAGTTTCAGGAGGTGACAGAAAAATAAGTCAGTAATATTTTTAAGCGTTATCCTTTTGCTTTATAATTTGTTTTTATAGCGATTTAATTACATTCTTAAACATTTTTTATTATTTTTTTTACAGTTATGGTCTGGCCAACTGAATTTGATACAAGATTGGGTGAAGTAAGTTAGAAACTAATAAGTTTTGTTCACATACTTTTTACAAGTGGATATAATTGTAGGATAAAAATAAATAAATAAAAAAAATAAAAATGTTCTCTTGTAAAGTATGACGCAATGGAGCTTCCCGGCCAGCAGCTGTCCGCAGCTACGGCGTACAGTCCGCTAGACCACGTGCTAAATCTGGACATCAAATTGCCAGCAGCGTGTCAACGTCTTACCGGAATTATAGCTACTGTAGGTAAGTTGAGGAAGAAAAGAAAATAAAAAGAAAAGTACTTTTTTCTTTGCATTTAAATGTAAATTTGTGTCAGGAAATAGGGTACAATTTACATTTTTGTTAAATTTCAGGGAAGGCATCAAACGATGTAGAGACGATGCAGAGGATGATGGCAGCTGGCATGAATATTGCTCTGCTCAATCTCTCTTTTGGAACTCGAGACGATCACATTGATACCATCAAGAATTTACGGCAAGCGGCCAAGAACTACAGCGTGGTGGTCGGGAAGAACTTTCCCCTAGGCATTGCTGCGCGTCTACCGGGAAGGAAGATTAGAACCGGGTATATTTCTGATGTAAGTTAATTTAAAAATTATCTAAACTAACCGGTAGTATGCGCTACAAAAAAGTCCTATGTAGCAATGTGCTACGGTAGTGTACTGCATGCTACGGCGTAGCAGAAATCGTAGACACTTTATATTTATTATTGTGTTGAGCCACTAAAAAAGTACTTGAAAAATTTTTCATTGTTTCAGACTTATGTAGAACCTGTTGAATTAATAAGTGGGGAAACCGTTCGATTGACTACAGATGAAACATACAAAGACAGGTGTTCGAGTAGTATTGTATACATTGACTTTCTCCATTTCGCGGAACAGTTAAAGAAAGGTGACATCATACTTCTGGACAATGAAACGATACAATTAAAGGTCGAAATCATATCGACTACGACATTGACTTGCAAAATAGAGAGAGGCGGAATGTTAGGATCGAACAAAGATGTGTTTGTACCAAATGTTGTGCTCAAAATGCCCACTTATTCCGAAAAGGATAAAGTTTATATCGACATGGCTGTGCATCATCAGGTGTGTTTACCTTTTTTTATTACAATAATATATTATTATTATATAGTCATTAACAGTTATGTAATTTTAGCATTTATGTACATTTAAGTGTATGTAAAAACTTTATTAATTATTGTTTTCTTTTCTAGCTTGATATCCTAGTGGCATCATTTGTTGATTCAAAAGATTCAATTTTAGAATTGAGGAATGCGATGGGAGAAAAAGGAAAAAAGATATCTATCGTTGCTAATATACAAACTTTAGAAGGATATTACAATTTTGATGAAATACTCGAGGTTACGCCGCAATTGTTTGAAATTAAATTTAGTTAAATATGAATAATATTTCGTTTAACGGATTTGTTTGTCAATTGTTTTTCTAGGTAGCTAATGGTGTTATGATTACAAGACAAGAATTGGGATCTGATATATCACCGAAGAAATTAGTAATTGCTCAAAAGAATATGATTGCACGCGCTAACAAGGTAAACAATTTCAGACCTCCGACTTCATCCTAATGAACTGAATATAAGGCGTAGATATTC